ACTTTGAGCCTATAATCGATTTGACGACATTTTAACGAATGTAATTGTCAAGTTATTAAACTTATTAAACTTAAATATTGATTATTAACAAAGTTATTGTGTAAATAATAAAAATAATAATTTGCACTATTCACACACATAGAAACATAATGAAATGTGTAGGAAGTCATGCAGCAAGAACAGGACGAATATGCGGCACTTGTAACGCAATCTCCAAAAACGTACAATGCGTTTAATCAAATATTTATGTCTATGATGCTCGGTGATGATACCTCGAATGAGTCGTCGTTCTCTGCTGCGTTGAAAAGATACGATGACTTAATAGCTGACAACGCGAAGAAGAAGAAACTAATACTGGAAACATATCCGAATGATAAAATTGACAAATTACAAAAATTGTAAGTACTATTAATAATTTCATGTATCGACGATACATTATTTTTCTATGAGTATGTTTAATGTATATTTCTATGGGTTTAGAGAGAATGAAATTAACAAGGATTACACGGCTGAGACGCAAAATGGACCAACAATTAGCTTCAGGTCAACTTCATATGAAATCAGCTCCAAGTGCGAGGAAATATCCACAATCGTTCAACAGGTGCAAGGAGATATAACAAAGATCAGGAATCAGTTCAAAGAACGAATGGTATAGTTGGCGCGTTACAAACATTAATAATTCGTGAAAACATATGACATTTGCTAATAATTCCCGTATTGTAGAGGATGGACGCCAATTTAGAACGTGAGAAGGACATTTTATGGCAGAGATTCTTGGCAGAACCCGATACATTAAGATTGAGATACGAGGAAGCAAAACAAAAAGCGAATGAGTCTCACTTTAGAGATACCGTAGAAAGTAAACTGAATCAATAAATTAACAATCTACAAACCAATTGTATAGTATAGGGAGACAGGAAAAGAGGTATTCGATACTTCAAGCTTTTTGTACTTTTTTAAATCAAAATAATTAAAACACAGTACATTGTAAATATACTCTGTAAAATACCAAGTTACTTATTCCCTCCAGTACGTTAATTTAGCTCACAGGCGTAGAGAGGAGGGACGTCATTTATCCTCCCCCCTCAAATATTGATAAAGAAAAACAAACCATGAATTTACGATAAAAAGTTGAACACTCGTGGCTTACACATTATTCATAATAAAGTTCACTGAAAATCCTTGAAAGTTGGTTTTAATATAAATATGGTAATTAATTTTTTTTGTGTGAAGATAAATTTTCGCCTCCCTCTGTCAAATTTTAGGTACGCTCATGGTCTCGACCTTTTAATTCTTTTAAGTTATTAGAGGAAACCCGACATCGCTGAATTTTCGTGGACATAATAAATACGCGCGGAGCATTATACGTGGACGCGATAATGAATGATTCGTCCCAAGGACGAGCGTGTGTGTGCGTGCGCGCTGAGCGCACGCGCGTATAAACACGACGGGGGATGACGTAGCGGAGGTGCCCGAGTGTAACCTGGTGTAACCTGGTGTAACCTTGATCCGCGCGCATCGATGTCTCCCTCCCCTCCCTCCCACCTTTCTCCCTTCCTCTCCTGTTTCCTCATCGACGTGTTGCCCTTTCGTCCTTCTCTTCGTTCCCCGTCCCCCTCTTTGTCTCAAATTTCGTTCAAAATCACCACGCTTCCGAAAGAGATCCGAATATACAATACAAAAGAGATTTATAAGCGAACGCCACGGTTATGAATTATGAAACGCCCGTTTCGAAGGTGTCTTATCGGCGCATTCCTCGAGTATGTGACAAAGGCGTTTTTACGAATCGGCAGCGATCCATGCTTTCTTAGCGAACGGCAGGAGGGTGGGAGGGAGGGAAGCGAGAGAGAGAATACGGAACGGGGAAGTGGCAAAGCGAGGAGTATTATCGATTCGCCGGGCACCCGTGAGTTAACGGTTTGTTTACACGAGCCGGCGAGCGCGGGGCCGGAGGGGCGCCGGGCCGAGGGCGGCCGGCGGGGAAGGTGACGGGGCGCATGCGCCGCCCGACCAAAACAATAATAACAGAGTAGAAGGTTCATGGCTGGCGGACGTACGGGCGGCCGCTCGCTCTTCGCTCTCCGTTGCTCTCCGTGCTCGCTGAAGCCTGCTCGCTGGCGCCGCTCCGCTCCGCGTCAAGTGAAGTCGGGGGCCCCCGTCGACGTTGTCGCGCGGTGAAGTCACGCCAGGTAAACAAAGGAGCAGGCGCACCGGACGTTTTCCAACGCGCCGCGCGTAACGCGTTACAAGTGGTGCGCCGACAATTCGGCGATTCTCGCGGAGAGAGCGAATTGTTAAACGCGTGGAGGCCCTTGAAACCCGAGGACCGGAGACAGCGAAGTATACCGAGACTACCTCGAAGTCGGAACGGTGAAAATAAATTCCGGCTTACGTCTGAATTGACATTTAAAACGAGACGGTATAAAAAGAAAACCGCGAGAGTCGCGTCATTGAGTAACAAATGGAATAACGAGCCGTGGAATTGAGACTACCTCAGAATAAGAAAAATAAGAGACTATAAATAGAAGAAAATCACGAGAGAGAGATATAGAGGAAAAGGAATCTTCCGTCGGCTGGTGTATCCGATTCGAAAGCGGGAGTCCCGCGCGAGATTATCATCTTCCCGTCGAGCCAAAATAATCACTCGCTCTCACCGTGTTCCGTTCCTCTTTCTCTCCCACCCCCCTTCCCCTTAGTGCGTTACCTCATCAGAGCCGAGTACAGAGGTGCGTGTAACGAGCGTGTGCGCGCATTGTGCAACCCGCCGCACTGATCCTCGGAGAGCGAGCGAGCGAAAGAGAGAGAAAGAGAGAGACACACACTGTGTACGTTCGATCGGCCTGGAAGCAAAACAATGTGCGGCTGGTGTAGCGCGTAGTGGAGAGGAGAGCTCGGTTGCGTGTATACGTGCAGCTGCCACTGCGCGGTGCGCTGGTGTGCGTTTTGTTTATGCGCGTAGATTAGCCGCACGCTCGTACTCGCGCGCGGGCAGTTCATTCAACAGCCAGCCGCGCTTCGACGCGCGCGACTCCCGAGAGTCTCGAGTCTCGTCGTGCCGCGTTCCGCCGACGACGTTTCGAGAAAGCGAGCGGAGAGGATACATCGCCGCCCCGCGTATTTGCTCAGTGAATCATACCCGTCCGATTACGTACGGACGCGCCTGTACGCGGATATTCCGTCGTGCTTATATATATATATGTATATATATATATATATATTATATACACATCGCCTGTGTTATTGTTGACGTGTCTCGGCGACGACTGCTATTCAGACGAGACTGGGTCGCTAATCGGAAAATAGCCTATATTTCTGGAAAAAGGGATTCTCTGTCTCCCCTCTGAGATTTTTCCTGGTACGGCGAGAAAAGGAACTTTGGTTTTTCTGAAAGGAAAGTGCAGCGCTCTCTCTCTTTTCTCCCTACCTCAGGCTGTTTATTATTGCATGGGATACCTCCTCGGCTCAGGTAAACACCGAAAGAAGGAAGGAGAGAGATGGAACTTGGATTGTCGGCGTGAAGAGAGAGATAGTAATCTCTGGCATTAGAAAGAGAGAGGACAAAAACATAGAGCTTCGAGAGAAACCGTCAGGTCCCCGTTGCGCAGTCTGTTTACTA